TTGAATTGAGAAAAGTTACTATTAATAAATATAGGACGATTAGGCGCAACTATGTTGAGAGTAGCCATTTCAGCAATCTTATTAATACACAGAGTAGGCCATGTGAGAAGAGATCGGAATTAGTGAAGACAAAAAAGAATGGATTTAAGCCGACTCAGCAATCAATTAAGGAATCAAAGGCATTATTAGGTGAACTTTTATATCGTAGGAAAGTTAATAAGGGAGATATTCGTTGGTCGATTTCACGAGATGAGGACGGAGGAATCTCGTTATAGTGCAGCCGTTTGGCTTTTATACGATGTTCATGTTGATGCAGTCGTTTCGTGTGAAAATGTGCTGAGCTTTCATCTATCATTTTATGGACATCATCAGAGCTAGGCGTCATTCTTGTAATAATCTCACGTTAAGACTAGGGCAAGAACATTATCCGGCCCTATCCTACTTATATAGACTCAATTAAGCCAAAGGATAATTAAAAACCTAGATAGACCGATATAGTGGCTTAATTATCTTTCATGCTGGCCCCGTTATTTTTGCTCAAGTGCATCTGTGTGTGAGAGTTAGCGTCTAGATGCAATATGGTTTAATCTCAGGTTCTGCTCCGAGAAAAAGCTTTGACCGAGACCGCGCAAGTCGGTAAACAAGTATAGCTGAGATAATGAAATATGATCTTGTACACATGAAGCTCTAGTTACGAAATTACCTGCCATAACCTTCCAGTCTAGGTTCATTAGCGTTTAACGCCCCAAGGAAAGGCAAGAATGGTTCGTGTAATCTGAGAGGTCTGATTTGGTTAATGGGCTTATTCTAACATGTTGCACGAGTGTGAGTGAAATTCAGACCATCACCGAGCAGACGAATTGAGTCGCCTTGTTTTAACGGCGGCTCAACACTATTAATCAAGCATAAGTAGTTACTACTCAATTTTCTACCACCGCTTTTCACATTCAACGTATTTCCTAGGCTATTAATTTCAGTAGCCTCTTATTTTTTTTTAACCACATACGTGCCATAATCAGCAAGCCTACTAGCTTGAGACCATTCTATTTCATGTCCAATTTCTACCACATGCTGAGTCACTTTTGAGCGTTAGATACAGCTTCCTTCGCAAGCATTTTTGCTTTCTCCAAATGTTTGTCGAATAGGTCGGAAAGTTTCACCAACATATCATCGTCCACACGAGTATAGGGGATAGCAAATATTTGACTAAATTGTTGAAGCGGCTGACAATTATATTCCTGGAAAATAATTATTCTTTGGGCTTTATTGATAATAATATCTCTTTACTGAGGAATAAATTTTCAGACGGAGACAATTTAGTCGAATATAAGCAGACTGAGACCTTTTTCCATGTCTTAATTTTGACGTCATGCCTTCTCAGAGAAGTGGGACATAAAAATAGTGTTCAAAGAAACAATCACACTTTCTTCTGTTATGCCAACTTTTGAATAAATATAACCCATTAACGAGATCCGCTAGCTACAAGATTGTTTGCTCATGTGTTCGATATTATGTTAGCGGGATATGACGACCTATTCGGCAAAAATTGGGATAACACAAAAATGGTTGCAAAAGAAGATGGATCAAGCTGTCACAAGTGGCTGAATACATGGTAGAAACTGGACATGAAATAAAATGGTCTCAAACAAGTAGGTTTGCTGATACATTAGATCTGTTTAAAAGAAAGGTAAGAGGCTATTAAAATTAACAGCCTAGGAAATACGTTGAATGTGAGGAATGGTGGTAGAATATTGAGTTTGAACTACTTATGCTTGATTAATAGATTAAGTGATGAGCCGTCGTCAAGATTAGGCGACTCAATTGGTCTGCTTGATGGTTCTAATTTCACTAATATTCGTGGAACCTGTTATCCTAAGCTCATCAGACAAGCCAGACACGTCAGATTACGCACCCCTCTTGATTTTACTTGGTGGGTTAAACGCTAATGATCCCAGACTGGGATGTTGATAAAGATGGTTTCGTAACTAGAGTTTTGAGTACAAGATCATATCTCATTATCTCAGCTATAATTGTTTACGGACTTGCGAGGTCTCAGTCAAGACTTTTTCTCGGGTCATTACGCCTTTAGGATCAGAACCTAAGATTAAACCACACATGCACTTGAGCAAAAATAACAGGACCAGTATGAAAGATAATTAAGGAAACTAATATATATCGATCTAGGTTTTTAATGATCCTTTGGCTCAATTAAGTCTATATAAGTAGGATAGGGTCGGATAGTGTTAACGTTCCTCCATTACAAGAATGATACGTAGCTATGATGATCTCCATCAAATAAGGGAAGAAGTCTCGTGCACTGCGTCAATATGAATATCGTATAGAAGCCAAAAGGCTGCAGTATAACGAGGTCTATCCATCCTCAACTGGTGACATCAACCAGCGAACATCTTCATTCACTTTCATGCGAAATGAAAGTCCCCCTCAAGATCCATTAAAGCCCAGTTTATCTTCGTATCTCAAATGCGTTAGAATATAACAATAATTAGTGCTATTCGATTACTCAATAAATACCCAGCACAACCTAACACAGCAGTGCATGTAGAGGAGTAAACGGGATCCGTAGTATTTATTAGAGCTTTTAGAATGTAGTTATAGGCTTTGCAGTGGTGAAGCGTGGCTTGTGGAGCTGTCTTGTCACTCTGTGCGGGAGCGGATACTTGAGTTTACTGTTGTGGAATTGAGTAACATGAGGGCGCCGGCACTTGGATGGAGGTATTGCTTCGATCTTAATCACTTGAATGGATGAAGGTCGAGCTCTGTGTCGCCCACCCATTTCTCTATATAGTTGAGTAACCGCAGCTTCCTCTGTGAGGTCGCGAAACTCTTTATACATATTGTGAGTCCCAGAGCGACTATTATAGCGAATCCAAATGCCATAGTTCTTGACAGTCAAGGGCTTCCGAGGGAAAAGCTAGGTGAATGAAAGACGCATTGTAAGGATAAGGTCAAGTGTGATTTTAAAAAGTATAAAAAAATATTACCCTCTTGCATTCCAAAATTTCACCATTTCCCTTCTTCATTTTTTTAAGCTGTCGGATGAAATACCAGTAACGAGATTTCGCAGTAACAGAATCAGGAGCAAAGATTCGCATTCGATATGGCACAGTCTTCGGTTCCTTTTGTGAAGGAAGCTTTCTGCCTGTGACAATGTAAAGCTTTAACTGAAAAAAATAAAATTACGAGAACAAACCCTGCCAGATACTCGCATGGCGACAAAGTCCAATTGAGCGGGCTATAGTAAGAACTACAGTAAAATAATAAGGGTGGCCTGTTAATACTTTGGAATGTGTTAATTTATAGGATATATTTTTTAAAAACATTTTACAGCTAACTATTATATTTGGACTACGCTTTTGTACTAAAATTGTATATAAAATTAAGGGTAATAATTCACATTTTCCA